TTCCAGTGCTTTACCTTTACTGGTAAGACCAATATCAACAGCACCCAGTGTACACAATATATAGCCTTAACCTAATAGCTCTCACTAAGGTGTCCACTGCTTTCTCACATTAAACCAAAATGATGAGTTCAGTAACTAACTATAGAATGTTTATTAAAATCATTTACGATTTCAAATGGTGGATGAGAGAACAGAGGTGGTGTAATATGCAATATTCGCGAGGGAGGAAGAGAGAGGCTTGAAGTAAAAATTCACAGGAAGAGTGGAAGAAGAGCTGACAGAGATTGGCTATTGGTTAGAGAAAAGTTGGAAACTAAATCCCAGAAAATAGAAGAGAGAGGAAGAATACGAACAAAGAGAAAAAATTGAAGACATAAGAATATAACAAAAATGCAAAACACCATTCATGTGTCATTGTCCTCCACACCTTAATGCATAAAAACATCCTGTTCCAAATATGGTAGAGAGATTAGTGAATCAAAAAATAATATAAAATAAATCTTGCTGGCAAGTCAGACTGTCTCTGTTAGTGTTCAACAGTTTCTCAGTCTTGTCTCTGACGTCTCTTGGGATCACCAAACCCACATCAGCCCTCAAAAATCCAGTCTCTGTCCCACTTATCTGGGCTTCAGATACTTCAGGATTGGCCACGCTGCAGTCCCAAGATCTCAGAGCTGCTCCTACTTTCAGAGAAACCACCAGGGATACACTCATGCAAAGGAGCAACCCTGAGATGCAGGAGCAAGACAAGGGCCACCAGCACTCTCAGCAGGAAGCTCCCAGGCTCCTCCAAACCTGCAGGCATCCCCACATTGGACCTGCAAGTCACAGTTGAGTCCCCAGACAGAGGCTCTTATGGTGGTAAAACTGTGGATACCCAGGCCCCAGGCCCTGGCTGATGTTCCAAAATGGGTGTATCCACATGCAACCAAACCTGGAGTCTTACCAAAGCAGTCCTCTAGACTCTGGTAGCAGCGATACTGGCAGTGGTTGTTGGCAGCAGGCAGTGGGTCAACAGTAGTGACGGCTGTAGTGGCAGCTGCAACTGCAGCTGTGGGGGCAGCATCACCAGGTGATATCTGGGGGTCAGCAGCAGTGTAGGTTTCAGTTGCATCCAGGGCAGTGGTCTCTTCTGTGTCAGCAGCACCCGGAAAGAAGATCTCTAGGCTATGTTGGCTGGCAGCAGTGGAATCAGAGGCAGCAGCAATGGTGGTAGCAGTGCAGGTGGTAGTTGATTGACAGGAAACTTCTGGTTCAGCAGTTATACTCTCCTTTTAATGAAGAAGATATGATCAAGCCTAGGAGTGGTATAGCCTACCTTTGAGAATACCTAGGAATAGCAGGCAGCTGAGCTAATATTGAGCTGTCAAACTATATAGTGAATTTTCTAAACCCAGAAATGGATATTTTTAGAAGAGTACATGGTCACACTGCAGCTTCTGAGATGCTACTAAACCTCAAGTTTACACCTGTTGTTTTTTCCTATCTTGGGTTCTTCTTTCTGTTCTTTAGTATTGAAGCTTAGTGACTTGAAGCAAGAATGGATCATTTCTGAGTGACAGAGGCTAAGAAGTGACAAAAGAGTTGGTAACACTAATTGAATAAGGGTCAGACTGTGGAGTTCTTCTAATCTAAGTCTAGCAGAAGGAATTAAGTATGAGTGTTTGGAATCATAAAGCAGTAATCACTTTCTGAAACAATCAATGAAGGTTTTTAGTTTCTTGCTTCCTCACTATTACAAATTAAATCTCCATTCCTCTAATTAGCCAGTGTTCAACATCAGATCATCTTTGGCTCCACTGATTCTCCTCTGGCTAGAGAATCCAGAAGTGTGGAACTATTATTGTGGCTTAGTGGTCACTCAGTACAGACTCTGCTGTTTGTAGGTGAAGCTTTGAACTCCCTCTGGCTTTTATGTGAAAGCTCCTTGTGACATTTACTGAATGCCTTCTATTCCTATTACTACTGAATATTAATGTTTTTGAGTGCCAAGACTATTTTGGATTCATCTTTTTATTCTCTACACTGGAAATGACAGTGCCTGGAATACAGCTGTTTGGGTCAATAAATAGGTGAATTCATTAATTTATTCATTCATTAATTTATTCATTTCATTCACTTATTCATTCAACAGTATTTTTGAAGCTTCTACTCTGAGGGGGGTTTTATAACCCAGTGGGGAAAAATAACCATTAGTTATTTGTTATTAGCAAGGGCCTGTGAGACTATCTAATTGGGGCCTGATCTGGTCTGAGGGTCACAGGGATAGCTTTAAGGAGGTTATGTTTGAGCTTAGACCTGATGTAGTACAGGGGTTATTAGAAGAAGTAGATTTGGAGTGGAAGGGAGGAGCTGAAGGGAAGAACATGCCAGGCAGAGGGATTGATTTGTGCAAAGGGCTACCAGTAGAAGGCACCAAAAAGAAGGCTGGTGTGATGGAGCACAGGGAGTGAACTGGAGGTGCAGCCAGAGGTGTCAGGATATTCAGGCCTCACAGGACCCTGGGTAGGATTCTGTTCTCTAACTCATGAACAGTGGAATGAATTCACCAGTGTTATTGGCCCCATCTAGGCTATTACTTTCTGCTCTCTCAAATAGCTGGTTGATGTCCCTCATGGGTCTGTAATTCTCTTGTGTCCAGTGCTGATCCTGGCTGATTCATGGCTAGTTGACCAGAAGCTACTTGGCCTGGCTTTACACTTTGTTATTTTCTCCTTTGATAAATTTAATCTCTTATTTCTATGAAAACAGAAATGGTTTCATTATTCTTGTAATTACTAGAAACATTGCCATCATAGTGCTTGTGCTGCTCACTGTCACAGGTTTATTGATTATGAAAAGTGAGCTATGCTCTGTTTCAGTAGAGAATAGAACAGCATTGACCTTGCCCTTGAAAATTAGAGTTTACTGGAGGGGGACAGCCGTTAAATTAATATGCCACAAATATATATTTAATCAGAGAGCTGTGCAGGATAAAAACAGGCATAACTGGGATAATCTAATTTAGAATGAGATATCAGGGTACCCTCTTAGATTCTCATGAACCTTACTCCATAACACTTTTTTCCTGGCAGCCCACAGGGTGTTTGTAGCATAAGTGCATGAATTCCTGGATGAGGCAAGTTCTCTTTCTAGTTGCAGAACATGAGACTGGTAGAGATTTGGTCCTTGAGATCATACAGCAGCCAAATGGAAGAGTTGAGGTATAACCATGGGTGTCCTGAGTCAAAGTCTAGCCTCTTTCTCATGTGAAACTGGTTTGCCACTCTCTGTGCATCACCTGGGAATTTTCCCCATTCACAGTGAAGATCCTTTCAGCCTCTGCTGTCCTCTTCTCCTGACCACTTCTCTGCTGCCTGCCATTATGTGGCTGTCTCAGAGTTGAATGATGGCATTGTTTTATTTCCAAATCAAGAGAATCTTGCCTTGGCTTTGTTGTTCTCAGGAGCTCAAGTTTTACTCTCTTGAATACTTCTTGTTATCTGGATTCTTCATTGTTTCCCTTTTTGCTGTGTTTGGTTCAACAAAAATTTTTTTTGTTATTTTAGTTTTTTCAGTACAGGCGGTTGAACCAAGAGCCTTGCACATGCTGGACAAGTATTCTACCTCTGAGTTACATCCCTGCCCTTCACTGATGTTTTAAATATCTATTCTGGCCATGGCACTTTATTTAGTGCTACTGAAAATATGAGAATGAACATTTGACCTTGGCTTCCTGGTACTTTTATATTATTTTTAAATTTGAATTTAATTAAATGAAGTTATTTTTTTTTTTTTTTTGAGGTGGGGTCTCACATGTTGCCCAGGCTGGCTTTGAACTCCTGTGCTCAGGCAGTCCTCTGGTGTCAGCCTCCCATGTAGCTGGGACTACAAGTGTGCAACGCTCCTTCTGGCTCCTTGTATCTTTTATAAAAGAATGTGAGAGTTGGGCGTGGTGACCCATGCCTACAGTCCCAGTTACTTGGGAGGCTGAGGCAGGAGAATTGCAGTTTGAGGTCAGCCTTGGCAACTTAGGGAGATCCTGTCTCAAAATAAAAATTAAAAAAAGATCTGGCAATATATCTCAGTGGTAAAGCACCCCAGAGTTCAATCCTCAGTACATTAACAAAGAGAGAGAGAGAGAGAGAGAGAGAGAAGAAAAAAGATGTGAGACAAACAGACAAACACACTTATGTAGCTACCCACAATATATTTTTCAGACTGCTGATGGGGTCTCACAGCTTTCTGGAGAAAGTAGCTTTTTGTGGTGACTTTAAATGTTTCAGTGGTGGCCCAGGATGAGAAGGCAGTATGAAAGTATGTATGAAAGGCAGTATGAAAGCAATGTGAAAGATGTTTGGAGGAGGAAAGTTGCAGCAAATAAATAAATGGTCCTTTAAGACTAAAGCTTGGAGTATTAGAAATGAAAGTGAGTAAACTAGGTTGTCGGCCCCCTTGGGGTGAAGACTTCAGATGTGTGGGTAAAATGTAGTTCCATTTTGCTTCTACAGCTGTCTCTTAGCCTGTTAACATTATTCCAGAACTTTCCCCCTTAGAGAATGAGGCATCAGCTCAGCATTTGACATCTAGGTGCTTTTAATACTGTGAGTTTCTAATCTGCTGCTGGTTGGTTTGGTAACAGAAAAATCTGCCAATTTCTGGACTTTTTTTTTTTTTTTTTTTTTTAAAGAGAGAGTGAGAGAGGGGGGAAGAGAGAGAATTTTAATATTTATTTTTTAGTTCTCGGCGGACACAACATCTTTGTTGGTATGTGGTGCTGAGGATCGAACCCGGGCCGCACGCATGCCAGGCGAGCGCGCTACCGCTTGAGCCACATCCCCAGCCCCCCCTTTTTTTTTTTTTAAAAACCAAGAACTGCCTTTTTCCATAATCTCCCCCTTCAATGAAAGCATTGCCTCTTTTGTTTTTCCTTTTCTGCATCTATATGTATGAAAAGCAATTGCCTGTTGTAGGAATGAACCTCAGCCAGTTGGAGGAAGTCTTATTATTTTTCCTATTAGGCCTTGTGTCCCGAAATCGCCCTGAGGAGGAGGACCAGTATTGGTTGAGTATGGGCAGAACTTTCCACAAAGTGACACTGAAGGACAAGATGATCACAGTAACTCGATACCTTCCCAAGTGAGTTCTTGGATATTTAAAGTCTTTAGCTACTGTTCTGGATTATGTCTGCTTGCTAATTGTGTATAGTTCTTAGTTCAAACAAAGGAAGTTGAGTTGTTAGTCTTTTCTTTGTTTTAAAATAATCCTGAGATAACTTTAAGGTTATAGCTTACTTCCAAATTTGATTCAGCTTATGTTTAGCATGATTACTATTGAACCAATTAAAAATGAAGAATGTGAGGGAGCTGGGGATATAGCTCAGTTGGTAGAGTGCTTGCCTTGCATGCCCAAGGCCCTGGGTTCAATCCCTAGCACCGCAAAACAAAGAAACAAACAAATAAAAAAAGAATGTGAAGAGAGAAGAATGGAAAATTTAAGATCTGGGAAATTTCCATAACAGTCCCTTGGGATGAGATGAGTTGGCTGCTATATTTGAGGGTTGGTTGCCAAGAATAGTGCTAAGTGCATTAGACAGAAAAAAGAGAGAAGAATTGGGAGGAATGATTGTTTGAATGTCTAGGCATGTTCTTTATTTTTCAGGTATCCTTATGAATCTGCCCAGATCCACTATACCTACAGCCTGTGTCCTTCCCACTCAGACTCAGAGTTTGTTTCCTGTTGGGTGGAATTTTCTCATGAGCGGCTAGAGGAGTACAAGTGGAATTATTTAGATCAGTATATTTGTTCTGCGGGCTCTGAGGATTTCAGGTCTGAGAGTGTCTTTTCATCTTTGCTGCTTGGGTGTACACATACTTTAATGTTTCTTTTTTCTGATGACAAAATGGTATCTGTTATGCCTTTCAGAAAAAAAATGGAAGAATAAAAGTACATCTGCATGGGTTAAAAAATAGTTATGAGGTGGATAGGGAGATGGTTACACAACAATATGGATGCACCTGTCACTGACTTATATACTCAAAATTGGTTGAAGTGGTACATTTTATTATGTGTAGTTTACTACAATTAAAAAACAACAACAACAACAAAAATAAAAACAACAACAAAAAAAACCCCAACAACAATACTGGGAGCTGGGATATAGCTCAGTTGGCAGAGTGCTTGCCTTGCATGCGCATGGCCCTGGGTTCAATCCCTAGCACCACCACCAAAAAAAAAAATACTGGATTCAGTGGTGATGTGCCCTTTGGTGCAAGTGTCAGTGCAGATCATGTTCTTAATATTTTCTTGACTACCTGGCTGGTTGGTAGCTTGGTGCTATCTCATGTTTAATTTTTTATTTTTATGTACAATTTATGATAATGATGATGCAAAACTACAACTTTGTTGGGCCTGGGTGCACATAAATGTTTTGACTTCTTTGGGATTAAAATAATACTGAGTTTTGTAGTCTTCCTTTTGAGCTTGTGTCTGAAATGAAGCCATGCGCTGTATCATCAGATGACAGCACACCCGTCGGGAGGTGGAACCTTGCATACCAATCAGAGAGAGATCACTTGGAGCACTTTGAGTATCTAATTTTTCTTACCACTACTTTGTGTTTTCCTTGATCCTCTGTAGCTTAATTGAATCTCTGAAGTTCTGGAGGACCCGCTTCCTGCTTTTGCCGGCCTGTGTCACTGCCACCAAGCGCATCACAGAGGGGGAGGTCCACTGCGACATCTATGGGGATAGACCTCGTGCTGATGAGGATGAGTGGCAGCTCCTGGATGGCTTTATCCGTTTTGTGGAGGGTTTGAACCGGATCCGCAGGCGGCATCGCTCAGATCGCATGATGCGGGTGAGGCCTCCTGGGGTTCCTTAGGGACTGTACCTAATATAGTATACAGGATCTGTCACCTCCTATCTCTCAGGAGCCTCCCATTGGCTAGTTTTTTTTTTTTTTTTTTTTTAAGCCTCATAGCTATCTAATGTTTATTTTTAATCCCAAACTGTGTTGTTATCCATTGTAGGGTGAAGAAGGGGGGTTATAGGGTACAGACAAAGATTGGGTAATGTCCCATGACTGGAGATGTTCCCCTGAGGATATAGAGCCTTTATCTGCTCTCCAAGTGGCCCAGTTTTGAAACAGCTGCCTATGTGATGTGGTGGTGAATACAGATGTTTAGGAGGTTAACAGAAACAGTCTTTTGTTATTCTTATATCACTTTAAGAGTGATAGCACCCTTGTTTCTTCATTTCAATCACACACTGCAACCCAATGGGAAAACTGAGGCTACTGTTATGGGATATATCTGCGGCACTTTGCCAAAAAGGGCAGATCTAGGATTCAACTGTTTTGTTTTGTTTAAATTAACATACAATATAATTGACCTGGCTGTGTGTGTGTGTGTGTGTGTGTGTGTGTGTGTTGGGGGGCATACACACTTGCACACAATCTATGAATTTTAACAAATATATAGATTCAGGCAGCCACCACCATGATCTGCTACAGAATAATTTCTTCACTTAAAAAATGCTCCATTATGCTACTGTTTTTAGTCATATTCTCCTGTCTCCCTGTCCCCTAGCAACCACTGGCCTGTTGACCATCATGATTCTTTTATCTTTTCTAAATATCACAAAAATGGAATCATATAATATGAAACCTTTTGAGACTGCCTTCTTTCAGTTAGCATTATGCTTTGGGATTTATCCAAATTGTTCTAAGAATCGGTAGTTCATTCTTTTTAATTGCTTGGTAGTGTTCCATCATCATGTTTTTATTTTTATTTTTTTTAACCCAAAACAAAAGTTCTTTAATCTTCCTTCCACATCAGCTGCCTTTTGTATGCAGCCTCACTTATGATTAGGAACATTTTTAGGAGGTCTTCTATACTGGGAAGAGCTTTGGTTTTGAATTGAGGCAGCTGAAGTTTGAATTTCATCTCCAGTGCAATTTGGAATAAATTACTTAACCTTTCTGAGCCTCAGTTTCTTCTATCATTTCTGAACACGAAGAATCAGTATTCCTCTACTGTGTTAGTTGAATTCCCAGGGCTTGAAGATGAAGAGGCTTATCCTGGTGTGTGAATGGGGTCTATTGCAAAAGCCCTTTTGAGCTTCATCTCTTCTTTTCTGCTTTAGAAAGGAACTGCCATGAAAGGCTTGCAGATGACTGGGCCCATTTCCACACACTCCCTTGAGTCTACAGGTCCCACTGCTGGGAAGAAAACTTCAGCTCTGTCTGCCCTGCTAGAGATGGAGGCCAGTCAGAAGTAAGTGCCTGTTTCAAGAGGGATCTGCCCCACCCTGAAGACCCCAAGGGTTTTCAGTGCTCCACTCCTCTGTGTGGGGTAAAATCTGTAAGGAGCTTGTAGGAAAGAAGATGTTTACATGAAAAGAAAACAAGGCTAATACCTGGTAAGTGTTGAATAATATGAAATAGGGCAGCAATTATAAACTTTCAGCCTGGGGCTTAATTTGAACTTCAGACACATTTTGATTGTCCTACAGACAATCAAATATATATATATATTTTTAAAATATTTATTTTTTAGTTTTTGGTGAACACAACATCTTTATTTTATTTTTATGTGGTGCTGAGGATCGAACCCAGTGCCCCGCGCATGCCAGGCAAGTGCGCTACCGCTTGAGCCACATCCCCAGCCCATATATTTATATTTTTGATAAATTCTTTCTATGTTGCCCAGGCTAGTCTTGAATTCCTGGGCTCAAGTGATCTTCATGCCTCAGCCTCCTGAATAGCTAGGCATATACCACTGCACTCAGCTCTCAAAGCGTTTTATTTTTAAAATTTTTAAGTGTTTGGTACGGGGTGTTGATCCCTGGGATGCTCTACCACTGAGCAATATCCCTAGCCCTTTTTACTTTTTGAGACAGGGTCTGGCTAAGTTGTTTAGGGACCTGGTAAATTGCTGAAGCTGCCTTGAACTTGCAATCCTCCTGCCCTAGCCTCCTGAGATTCTGGGATTGTAGGTATGTGCTATTGCATCCAGCTCACAAAGCATTTTAAGAGTACTTCATCCAAGGGCTAGGGCTGTAGCTTAGTGTCAGAGTGCTTGCCTAGCATGTGTGAGGCACTGGGTTCGATCCTTAGCACCACATAAAAGTAAACAAATGAAATAAAGGCATTCTGTCCATCTACAACTACAAAATAAATAAACAAAAAAAGGAATACTTCATACCCCTCTAAAAAAATGAATACTTTATCCCAAATTTTCTATTTTGACAATTTCACATAAAATTCTTGATTTTATATGAATTTTTAAATGAAAATAAATGTAAGATGATCTATGATTCTATTATACAGCATAAAAATTATGTAGTATGGATTATGTAATACAATATAAAGTCATAGATAATATATAGAGTCAGCTTTCCTTTATTATTATTATTATTTTTTGAGATAATATCTTATTGCATTGCTCAGGCTGGCTTCAAACTCACAGTCCTCCTTCTGCAGTGTGTTTTGCTTTAAGTAGTCTACATTTGTAGCCTGCCACATTGGCTACACTTTATTTTATTTATTTATTTATTTATTTTTTAATATTTATTTTTTTAGTTGTAGTTGGACACAATACCTTTATTCCATTCATTTATTTTTATGTGGTGCTGAGGATTGAACCCAGGGCCCCGAGCATGCTAGGCCAGCGCTCTACTGCTGAGCCACAATCCCAGCCCAGGCTACACTTTAGAATGGCCTATGGTTCTTACTCTGGTCTTGGACTTGTCTTGCATCCTCAGTTATGTTACCTGGCTGGTTTCTCTAGGCATTTGGGAATGTTAATATAGTTGACAGGATACCAGCTGGATGATACCTTGCTTGGGAGGGCAGGGAGAGTGTTCCAAGAGGTGGGATTTAATTTGGTCATGTAGGCATCAAAAGATTTACATTGAGGGGGGGTGGGACTTGGGGGGAAAAGACAACATTGCTATGCTGCCGCAGTCTGGCTGGGCACAATTCAGGAGCCACTTGTCAAAAGAAACAAACTTTATTTTTAAAACTACAAACGCCAAACAAAACAGCTCCTCAGGAAAAACCCTCAGAGCCCAACTGCCACCACCGGCTTCCACAAGCCTCTCCCACACACCAACCACCACCTCCCACAATCCTCCTGCTCTTGAGGCCGATTGGCTAGGTCGCGTGGGCGGAGCCAAAGAAGTCCCCCAGAGCAGTTCCGTAGTCTGAAGGGCAGGGAAACAGCCCAATGAACATGACCGCAGAGGAGCCAATCAGCTAGATGTTGCTGGGGCCACTGTGAGCCAATCATCAGCTGGCAGCTTGAAGGGCAGGGAAACAGCCCAATGAACATCACCGCAGAGGAGCCAATCAGCTAGATGTTGCTGGGGCCACTGTGAGCCAATCATCAGCTGGCAGCTTGAAGGGCAGGGAAACAGCCCAATGAACATCACCGCAGAGGAGCCAATCAGCTAGATGTTGCTGGGGCCACTGTGAGCCAATCATCAGCCGGCAGCTGGAAGTTTGCTGGCAGCTGGAAGTTTGCTGGGGCCCCTTTGGCTGTGGCTCTCAACAGGTAGAACCTGCCTTGGGCAGCTTTCTTATCTCCCCAGTAAGATTGGATTCTTTTTCTTTCTTCCTTTCTTTTTTTTTGGTACTGGGGAATGAACTCAGGGGCACTTAACCACTGAGCCACATCCCCATCCCAAGATCAGGTTCTTGACGCTGTGTTTGCCTGCATCCTGGGCCTATGTTCATTAGAGCACTTGTCAGTATTCTCCTGAGCGCCTCAGAAATCTGTTCACTCTTCTTTCCTCTACCGTAACTGCTTTGAGGGCAGAGGTTGTGACTCTGCCCAGGACATAGTAGGTATGCCATGGATATTTATGGAATAGTGGAAGATAGGATGCTGAGCATCTCTCTGTATATATGTGGGGCAAGTGTGTTAGGGGAGACTGGACATTTTCTTTTGGGTGTGACGGCCAGTATTGGGTATTGTTCCCAGCAGGAGCCAGCACACATTACACTTTCAGAAAGCAACAATGAAATGCATGAGAGAGTATGAGGTATGCTGGGAGGTGCAATTGACAAGATAGCATGGGAAACTGGGTGCAGTACATCATCATGTGATCTTATACCAGGAGGAATCCTTTGAAAATTATTTTATTTTTGCAGTGCCGGGGATTGAATCCAGAGCCTTGCATATGGTAGGCAAAATCCCCAGCTTGAAAATTTTTCTGTTTTAAATAAATAAATCTTGCTTTACTGATCACCAAGCTGCAATGATCATTGACTCCTGGCAAGTCTTGTTTCATTTATATTCCACTTGTGTTYACCTTTCCTTTTATTTTTTTTCTCAAATCCTAGACAAAAATAAATACCTCTCATCTGTATTATTTCAGAATGTTTCTCTGAAAGATATGTCCTCTTTTTTTAAAAAAAATTCCAAACTACAATAGTATAATTTACCTAAAAATTAAGGCTTTTTTTTTTTTTTTTTTTTTTAAATACCAGGGATTGACCCAGAGGCCCTTAACCACTGAGCCATATCCCCGGTTCTTTTTTTGTTATTTGAGACAGGGTCTCAAAAGTTGCTGAGGCTGACTTTAAACTTGATTCTCCTGCCTCAGCCTCCTGAGTTGCTGGGGTTATAGGAAAGTATTACCATGCCTGGCCATTACATTTCTTATATCATAAAATATCTAGTCTGTATTTTTGGTAGAAGTGGTTTCTTCAGGGATAAGCCTAGAGATAGGAGTGCTTGGCAGGTGGGTGCCAGGAGACAGAGACTAGGTAGAGGAGGGTGATGATGAAATGGAAAAGATGGGATATGGCAGGAGAGCAGAGGAACCCAGTAGATTGCCCAGAAGATGGCAATGAGAGAAGGAAAGTGGGTAGGTTGGGGCTCATTACTGATAGCTCTGTGTCTTCTTCTAAAAATGTTTCTGACCCAGGAAAGGCCCTAGAACTTTGCTTGGCAGCTTCTCCCTATAACTAATCCTTGAAAGAGAGAATAAGAACTGTATGTACTGGGAAGGGTGTAAAGCTGGAGGGTGTGAAACTAGGGGTGAGGTATCTTATTTTATTTTTTCAGTGAGTCATCACTGAGTAGACACCAAGGGCTTCTTTCCACTCAGACCAGGAGAAGAAGGCTCTCTTAGGGTAGTAGTATCCCTTCATGTGAAGGGTGAGAATCAGTTAACCCTATGGCAGGAGGCAGGACAAAGAGACCTGAGGCTTATTTCTTGTTCCCAGATGACTGCTTCAGGGGCACATGCTGTGTTTTCTTAAGAATGGACATAGAGTAGAAAGAGCCAGACTTTTTTATATAACATTTGTTCACATAGCATTTTTCACAATATCTCTATTTTATTTATTTATTTTTATATGATGCTGAGGATTGAACCCAGTGCCTCACACTTACTAAGCAGAGCACTCTGCACTTGAGCCACAACCCTAGGCCCTCCACAGAGCATTTTTTAAATGTGTTTTTCTTATTCTTCTGTTACACCAAGCAGATTCAATGTATAACAGTGTTAGAACAGCATGTAAAACAGCTTTAAAATTTTTCATCTATATTCTTATTGTGTTACCATAATGTAACTATGTTTTTTTCTTTATGGTGCTGGAGATTGCACCCAGGGGTATTCTATCACTGACATATATTATCCGAAGCCATTTAAAAAAAATATTATTTTTGAGACTGTCTTGCTAAGTTGCTTAGGCCGGTCTCAAACTTGGGATCATCCTGCTTCAGTCTTCTATGTAGGTAGGATTGCAGGCATGTGCCACCATTCCTAGCTTGTCTTCATTTCTTCTAGTTCCTTCCAGTTTTTATCTGTAGGCACAGACATTTTGTCAGTCTCTCTTGGAAGGCAGATGCCTCTGAAGTCTTATGTGTTTGCTGATTAACAGCAGCGGAATCAACTTAAGGTARCAGGTATTGGCCAGCAGGCTCCTCTACTTCTATTAGAATAGTAAAGCTTGGTGACAGCCAAGTTGGGGGAGGGCAACACAGACAGACAGACACTTCAAATAGTTGGAATGTTCTTATCCTATTCAGGGTGCCTCTTATGTGTGCTTGTTGCTTTGGGTTTCATGCTGAAAGCAGACCAACCACGTGATATAGCATACTGTCTACTTACCAAGGCATGTGAAGGGCATCTCTGTACTTTGTCTTTCTGCTTCTGTGTAGGCTGTCTTTTTTCTTCAGTTCATCCTTACAGGCCCACCCAATGCATATGGCACTGCATCTGTGGAGGCTTGTCTGCCTGTCTTTTGTCAGAATACAGTGTGTCCTTGTATATCTTCTCATATGTATACCTTGGTGCTCATCATTTTGTGCCAGTCTCCTCCCTGAACTGTTAGACAAGGAGCCTCTAAGGTCTTTCTAATGTCTGAATCTCTGACCTAGTCTATGGGTCAGCACATGAAAGGCAATTCAGTCAATGTAGATTGTTATATGTATCAGACAGTGTATCTGGAGGGGTAATGGGAGTAACTGAGAATTCTTGCCGCTGCTGTTGCCCTCAGGAAGTACCAAAGAATGTCAGGGTGTGTATTTGTGTATGTGGCTTAGGAAAACATGGCTGCACTGTGGTAGAAGAAGACAGATAGATAGACATTCAGTGTGATATCAGTGGATGAGGAGAAAATGCATTTATTCTGCTATTCCCCTATTAATTATACCTCAGAGTTTCCAAGTTGATATGGAAGTTTCTCTCTCAATATATTCCAGCCAATAAAGAGAGAAAGAATGACAGAATATCATTATGTATAGTCTCTAAAGAATTAAGAATCTATCAAAGATCATCAGTAGCAGCTAATACCACCAGAGAGAGGCAGCAAGCCACTATGGGCCTTCAGATAAAAGTGTACAGCTCCACTTGGGAAGCATTCTTGCCCCAAATTGCGCCTAACTCTGCCCAAATCTCTAGGTATAACTTCTAGTTCTTAGGAAGTGCAGGGCACAGAGGAACATGTTAAACAATAAAGAAATGAAATCAACACATTTAGACTGTACATTTGCAAAACAGATGAGCTACTTTCTTCAGTAAATAAGTTGCAAGAAGAGATGAAGAGGAGCTTATACCTTAAAAGATGCTTAAGGGACATAACTAATTGTAAAGTAGGGACCTTATTTGATTTAAAAATATTTTTTTTCATAGTTGTAGATGGACAACATGCCTTTATTTTATTTGTTTATATTCATGTGCTAAGGATTGAACCCAGTGCCTCACAAGTGCTAGGCAAATGTTCTGTCACTGAGCTACAGCCCCAGCCCCTGAATTCTGTTTTAAATCAAACAAACTGTTAAGGTTTTTTTGAGATAGTTGGAGAAATTGATATTATAAAAGTAAAAAAAAACTTAATTGTGGCTGTATTTTTAAAAATTATTCCCTTTTTAGGGCTGGGGATATGGCTCAAGTGGTAGCAGGCTTGCCTGGCATGCGTGGGGCACTGGGTTCGATCCTCAGCACCACATAAAAGTAAAGATATTGTGTCCACCTTTAAAAAAATTATTTCCTTTTAGAAACAATGCAATGTATATGGAAAAATAATACCATATGTAAGTTTTTCTTCAAATGATTTGGTGTGGGAAGGAGGGAGATATAGATGGAACAAGATGATCTCCAAGTGTTATCATTTTGGTGGCTGGATATGTAAGGATTTCTTACATTCTTTACTTTTGCATATGTTTGAGTTTTTCTATAAGAAAATATTTTAAAAGAGAGTGTTTCTGGTTATTGTGGAGACAGATTTTAATTGCTGGTGTGAGATTACTTTGTGATCAGTAACACAAATATCAGAATTTGGCCTGAGACGTATGGTTCACTAATAGAACTTTGCCTAGCATGAGTGAAGTCCTGGATTCTATTTTCAGGACCACATACAGAAAAAAAATCAGAATTTTAAGATGAAAATCGTTGCAGATTGCATGCCTGGGGGAGCAGACCAATTGGAATTTTAGCATATAGGCTGTTTATTAAGGAGAGTCCGTGAGCTTAACACCTTTGAGAGGGAGTGGGAAGAAACAAGAATGGGTACACTTATCTGCAGCATCTGGTGACAGCCTTGGGTGACCCTGTCTGAACACTGGATCTGGCATAGCCTTCAGAGATTAGCTGGGTTGGGCCAATATTGTCAGGCCTTCACAAACACATACACATACACACCACATTTACGCTGTCTCATACACACACTGATCATTAATTGGCTGTGACATCCTGTGGGTTGGGGAGCTCAGAGGAGACTGCTCTGCAGCTGGGACTGTCCCTTAATGCACTGACCCCTGAGCTACTTGGACAGTGTTCCCAGTTATTGAGGCAACAAGGCCATAGCAGAGGGATCTAGGTGGTGCCTCACAGTGTCCACTGCAACGATATAGTTGATATTCCACATCTATGGGTGTTGTATTCGTGGATTCCACCAATCATGAATTAAAAAACATTCTGAAAAAAATTTGCATCTATGCTGAACTTTAGTTCTAGGTATTATGCTGACTTTATTTTTAGGTATTATTCTCCAAACAATACTATATAACAGCTATTTGCATATCATTTATTATGTGTTAGATATTATCAGTAATATTATTATGTGTTAGATTATATCAGTAATATAAAGTGTGTGGGGAAAGGTCTGTGGTTTTATTTAAATACTATGCTGTTGTATATAAGGGATTTGAGTATTCACAGGTTTTCGTGTCCACAATGGGGTACTAGAACTGATGCCCAGAAGATACCAATGTGAATTCTACATATATTACAATAATAATGAAACATTTAAGACTTCAATATGAGCCTTCTGAATCTTACCTAATAAGAATACAGTGATATAGTAGAACAAAGTAATTTAAGCTAAAATAGGTCACAATTAATTTTAGTATGGAAAAGGATTTGAAAATGATCATGCAGGTATTATTTATGTACATCAAAACTGAAATAAGATGAAATGACATAAGAAAACCACATTTGTCTTTTTCATGAGATAGTGTCTGTTAGATTTGGGTGCATATTTTGAGGGGGATGGGTATTAAATATGTTTGAAAGGATAACATAAATTCCTTCAAAATATATAGAGTTAACACATTTTCCCCCTTTTAATTTGTGTCATATATGAATGCAGCCCTAATTTTCAAAATATGCTTTTGATGATATGTTTAATAAAAATGAGAAAAAGTCTTCCCAGAGGACTAAAAAAATGGTGATCAATTCCAGGAAGTAGGGACCAATTAGGTGCCCTTTAAAAGTAATAATAAGCTTTTATTTAGTCAATGTTTTGCTGTATTGTCCTGGCTGGCCTCAAACTCCTGGGCTCAGGTGATCCTCCTGCCTCAGTCTCTTGAGTAGTGGGACTACAGGCATGCACCACCACACCCAGCCCAGAATGATCTTTAAATTGTGCTGTTTTCTGATTTATTGTGGAGGACTGGTGACTGTTTAAGACAGTTTAATGAAGTTAAGTGTACCAGGTAGGACCTGAAGAAGAAATAAGGCAGAAACTTGTGTGTGTGTTTTGAAGATACCAGTAACAGAGCAATCTTCATTTTGGCTAATGTGGATCCTTCTTTACGCAAGCTGCAGTCATATGTTTTTTCTCCTTTTAGGTGTCTGGGAGAACAGCAGGCAGCTCTGCACAGTGGAAAAAGCTCTACCCAATCAGCTGAGAGCAGCAGTGTTGTAATGACTCCCACCTATGTGGACAGCCCACGAAAGGTAAAGGAGGCCACTCCTGTGGGGAACTGCTGAATGCCCACAGAGACCCAATGTGTAGGGTAGAATGGATAACCCTTCCAATCCAGGATTGAATGTGGTAAAACTTTGGATGAATTCTTCCCACACTCTTTTAAGGTTCTATTACTTTTACCATCTTTATTAACAAACTTTCATATTCAAGTTGTAAGGAAGATAAATTCTAGTTAAGTGCAGTTATAAAAGAAAGTAAAACTGAACTTTGTTGGTTCAGTCCTGAGATCTGACTTGAGTTTTGAAATTGGCCATCTGGTTTTATTGTAGCATCATTGTTAGTTTTCCCAGTCAGGAGTACAGTGCTTCTGAAGAACCTTCTAAAAGGTTTCATTGTTCTTTAATAATGGAATTACTATCAGTTTTCTTAGACTCCTGAGAAATATAGTTAGACAGAAGTGTTCTGGAGAGAGTAGAACAAAAATAAAAAATTCTGAGATTTTATACCTCTACAAGGATTAGCAAGTGCAGTAGAAGGGCAGAAAACTCTATAGGTGAGGCTTTTTATCTTTTAAGACCAATAGACTTGATTTTGTTATCTTATCTCCTGAGAAATTAAAAATTTGAGATTATTCTGCTGTGGTAGGATGAGTTGAATGTACTTCTCTTATCTGGGGGATGAAAGAGATTCAGTGAATATATTTTATCTCTCTAGGCTATCATTTTATCTCCATGTCATAAAAATATTTCATGTCATTCAATATTTTTCAAAAGTATGATTTTTTTTCCTTACCAGGAATCAGGCACTGTACCACCAAGTCATACCTCCAGCCTCAAAATGATTTGTAAAAATAGCTATGAGCTGAGGTATAGCTTAGTGGTAGAGTATGTAGTTATGTAGTTAGTATGCACAAGGTCATGTGTTCGTTTCCCTGGCACCACACACACAGAAAAGCCATATAGTCAGGCATGGTGGTGTTTACCTATAATCCCAGCAGCTTGAAAGGCTGAGGATCACAATTTTGAGGCCAGCCTTAGCAACTTAGTGAGGCCCTAAGCATCTGTTTCAAAATAAAAGATAAAAAGGGCTGGAGATGTGGCTCAATGGTTAAGTGCCCCTCAGTTCAGTCCCTGGTACAAAAAAAGAAAAAAGCCATATGATATTTAATCATAGGAATGCAACTTCATTTTGACATTTTAAAATTAGAATTATAGATGCTTTCTAATTTTGAGATAAATTTTGTTAATTATTCTATAAGTTATAATCTGTGATACATCACAATTATAAATAATGTTATAATGACCTTCCTCACAATAATATTTTGAGCATATCTCTGATTATTTCCTTAGCATAAGTTACTAGAATTATATTACTTGAATTACTCAGATGGAGGGATTAAAATATGAGACTAGTGGGGCTGGGGTTGTAGCTTAGTGGTAGAGCACTTGCCTTATATGTGTCAGGTGCTCATATTAAAAAAAAAATGAGACAAAAATGCCATCTGAAGCTCTAGGCAAGTTATAGTCTATATGGACCAGTGGCCAGCAAACCTAAGTATATACATTAGGCTTTTGGGCCAAGAAACAAAATAAAGCTATTACATAGGTACTTCTATAAACATTTAACATTATAAAGCGGTTTATCTCTCTCAGACTGTAAAAAGACAGTAATTTGCCAGATTTGGACTACAAGCTATAGTTTATTGATCACTGCTCTAGGGAATAACTTTAGGTTCCAAGGAGAACTGGTGTGCAAAGAATGTTCTATAGAAAAAGTTTTTTTTTTTTTTAACCTGTTCTCATGTGTACATGAATCTTAGCATCATTAGCACTTCTGCCAATATATGTTCTGGCAGAGAGGAGTCAGGAATGGAATAATGAGGTACAAAAGTCCCTTGTGTGCTGCCCACTAGATTTTTTAGTTGTTTGTTTTGAACATTTGTTTATTGTCATCTTTGAGGATTTTAAAAAGTGCCAAGGATATGATAGAGAAATTATAGAATCACAAACATTTAGATTAAAATATACCAAACACCAAATGACTAGGTTGCTATTTAGAACGCTCTCCTGATCTTCCAATTGAACATTTAAATCCAACATAGTAACTGCTACTATTGCTGGACATAGACTCCCAAGTTTAGAGAAGTGGAAGGAAAACTGCTATGAGATGTCCTGCTCATATGCTCAGAAATTCTCAGCCATGTCTTCAGGTATCATTTTGTGTTGGCTGCATGAGCTGTACCTGCCTGTGTTTCTCCATAGCCTCAACTTTCCAAGGTTTGTTTGCAGTGGCTAATGGGGAGTAGCAGCAATATTGTTTTCAGTGGCTAATGAGAAATAGCAGTAATATCTATCGCTAAAAAGAATATTCAGAAATTTCAATAATTGTAAAATTATTCTACATTTGAGTTGAAGAAAAATTGTAGGAAAGCAGAGACATTGATCAGGAGCCACTTCTGAATTTTAGTTGTAATCAGCATAAAAAATAAAAAGATTTTGAAGGGACAGAGGCTGTTTGGAAAAATCTTCTATGTCATTTTTGTTTCAAGTATATGACCATTTTCACCCCATATGATTAGACTGGGGGTAGACAGCTTTAGAAAACCCCTCAAATGAGTGCTTGTACCTGACATTCTATGTATCTTAGCTTCTTGATGATTACACAACAAGTGGAGGAGAAGGTATGGTGCTTCTGTACTGCTGTGTGCTTAGACTATTAATAGAGACTTCTTCCTGCATTGAATCCTCTTCTCCCATCTGGCTGCCATGTTCAATAACAGGCAGAAGAAACCTGATATCTCAGTATGTTTCTTGTCACCCAGCCAGGCGGGAGGCCAGGATATTGCTACTATAGCCTTTGCCCTGTCATCCCCCAAAGCTGTGGCCTTTCCCTCTTCCTTGCCATAGGTCTGAAGGAATTTCAGAGCTATGTGGGAGGGCAAAAGCATCCAAGCCACACTCTTGGCAGACCTGAGGGAGCTTGGACACACCTTCTAACCCAGGTGCTTTCTCCCACACAGATGGGATATTCTGCCCAGGAAGGTGTGAGTTCTTGCTCATACTTTGCATGTGGATATTATCTTTCTGGGTGGCTCTCTCGCCTTATCTCTTTCTTCTTCTTTTTTATTTTGTATTTTTTTTACCCCATTTCCCTCATGGGTCCTTGTTTTTCTCCTTCCCTTCTTGTTTTTATTTTTATGTTTTATGTTTCATCTCCTTCTTCTTCCCCCCATGGTTAACTGCTGGTACACACTCCATTTCTTCACTCTCTTGCACCTGCTGCTGTTGTTGCTGCTTCCTCCTCCTCTGACTTCAGGATGGGGCCTTCTTTATGGAGTTTGTCCGCAGTCCACGCACAGCATCATCTGCCTTCTACCCTCAGGTTAGTTCAACTCCAGGGCTCTGCAGCCCTTGCATGCCTGCCCATCAGCAAAAGCCATGAGCTAGCCTTCTGTTCAGCTCCGAGCAGATGGAATTGGCTGAATCTGAGTTTGAGTTGCAGTCAAAATTTGAATTTGATCTTTGAGGTATCATCTCTTCCATGTTTGCAGTGATGATAGAATAGAAGAGATTCATGTAAGAGGGACGAGTGATCCTCCTGATGTAGAGTCAGTTTTCCTCATTGCTGCCTGACTAGTTCACATGGGTGCTATGGATGTCATCACATTGCATTATCTTCCCTTTTAACTTTTATAAGCAACATTAAATATGTACACTTAGCTGGATATGGTGGTGCCTGCCTATAATTTCAGCTACTGGGGAAGTTGAGGCAGGAGTTTCCTAAATTCGAGGCCAGCCTCGAATTTAGCAATGACCCTGTCTCAGAATAAAAAGTAAGAGGGCTGATGACCTTTWACCTACAGTCAGTGGTAATGGGTTCAATACCCTTTACAAAGAAGAAAAAGAAATATGCATACTCAAGGAGTGGACATTCATTATTTTCCTTCTAGTACTAGATGGATTTATACTATATGGCAAGAAGTGGTGAATAAACAAAGCCAACATTTACAAATAAGTATGCTCTGTGTTTTGGGTTAATGGTGTGTGACCCTGGGTAGTTTGCCTACCCTCTGGGCTTCACTCAACTCATTTGTCAAATAAAAGATTTAGACTAGATTTTTAAGGGCTTTCAAGCCCTTAAAATTCTTCACTTTCCTTAAGTATTTCATCTCACAACATAACCTAAAAGTTAATTACAGAATTAATTACAGAAATTAATTACAGAAATGGAGAAATTGTGAGATGAAGTTGCTTTATACAGCATAGGGTAGAGCTGGGATTTAAATACAGGACACATAGCCTTGACTTGAGACTTGCTTTATAATTAACAATAACTGTTTTAATAGGTCCCTGGTGAAGGGAAATAGTGTTCTTTCCTTTCCTGAGGCCGCTAAGTAGTATAGGAAATTGACTTTAGTTATAGAGAATCCAGTAAACAGGGTTCATGCTGAATGAGGCAATGTAAAGAGGATGGAATTGGGAGGTTCATAATTTCTTATTTAATAGAATTCAAAAGCATCATTTATTGTGTGCCCACTCTGCTGGTGCTTTGTAAACAATCTTTAGTTCAACCTATAAGGTGAAGTTATTATCTACCCTTCTTCCAGATGAAAACATCAAGACTTAATGAAGCTAGCTGATCATAGAGCACTCAACTAGTGAGTGGTTGAGCCCTTACACTGTGGATTTGGTTAACATTGGAGTCTCCCCTTTAATAGGAGATCAGATATTGCCATGCTTGTTGTGCAGGTCTTCAGATGTCTGTATCTACCTGTTCTCATGAGTTCATGACCCTGAGTAAAAGCGTCTCAGGACCTCCATGTCCTAATCCAAACCTTTCTCATGTCTGAATGTGGGAGGCACACTTGATTTTTTTGTTTAAAACAGGCTTGCATCAAACCATATTGTCTTTTGCTTTCTACCCAAGACATGCCCTTGTGAACAGTTTTGGACTTAGATTAGAATTTAACATAATAAATATAGGGCTGCAAGAGAGTTATTTAATAATAACATAATAATCCATACACTTCATGTGGTAGAATTCACCTGTAGGACAAAAGTGTGATTCTTTACAATTGGGAATAGTACATAAAGATCAGATTTTGGGAGAAGCACATAAAGTTTATATTACCCACCAGGTGTATTGTTAAAAAAATGTGTAAATTTTTTACAAAATTAACTTATATTAGAGGTAGTAAGGGAGCTCCCTACATATATACAAAATTAAATTGTACCTTTTTAATTGTTTTATGTTCACTTTTTCTTTTTTTTTTTGGTATGGGAATTGGACCCAGGGGTGCCTTACCACTGAGCTACACATCCCAGCCTTTTTCAGTTTTTATTTTGAGACAGGATCTCACTAAGTTGCCCAGATTGGCCTTAGCATCCTGAGTTTCTAGGATTATGCCCCATGTCCTTTTGAGTATTAGAAATAATATACTCTTTTCAACAAATTTCAATGGAATGGAATCATAAGGAGCCTATTGCTGATGATAGTGCAATTAAGTTACATGTCAATGAAATACTGATAATAGAAAACCCCCATATATTTTGAAATAAAATAACATACTTCTTTTTCTTTTCTTTTCTTTTTTTTTGTTGGTACCAGGGATGAACCTAGGTGTGCTTAACCACTGAGGCACATCCCTAGTGCATTTTTATTTTTGAGACAAAATCTTGCTGTGTTGCTTAGGGCCTTGCTAAATTGCTGAGGCTGGCTTTGAATTCTGGATTCTCGTGCTTCAACCTCCTGAGCACGTGGGATTAAGGCTTGTGCCACCATGCTTGGCAAAGTAACACACTTCTAATTAATGTGGCAGGAATGATATAAATACCTAACATTGAGCTGGGTATGTGATGGGCATGTTGTCAATAATGATTAGGATTAGTATAGTCATCTTTCTATGTCTATCCACAGATTCAACCAACTGTGTATCAAAAATATTCAGGAAAAAATGCATCTATACTTTACATGTACAGACTTTTTATTGTCATCATTATTCCTTAAGCAATACAGGACTGGAATGTAACTCTGATAAAACACTTGCCTCACATGCATTAAGGCTTGGGTTTGATCCCCAGTTACAAAAAAGAAAACACAAAAAAACTAAACAAAACTAAAACAAAAAACCCTAAGCAATACAGTATAACAACTGTTTGTACAGCACTTGTACTGTATTAGGTATTATACATAATCTAGAGATAATTTGAAGTATATGGGTGGATGTGTACAGGTTATATGTAAATAGTATGCCATTTTTTTTTTTTTTGTGCATGGGGGTGGGGTGGGGTGGGGTTTATTGGGGATTGAACTCATGGGCACTTCACCACTGAGCCACATCCCCAGCCCTATTTTGTTTTTTATTGTGTCTCACTGAGTTGCTTAGCAGCTCACTTTTGCTGAGGCTGGCTTTGAACTTGCAATTCTCTGCCTCATCCTCCTGAGCTGCTGAGATTACAGGCATGCACCATCAAAACCTGGCTTTTTTTTTTTTTTTTAATCTTTTTAAAATTGGGGATTGAATCCAGGGGTACTTTGTCACCGAGCTACATCAGTCCTTCTGTTTTTTATTTTGGTCTTAAAACAGGGTCTTGTCAAGTTGTTGAAGGTCTTTAATGAGGCTGCCCTTGAACTTGCCATCCTCCTACCTCAGCCTCCTGAGTAGCTGACGTTATGAACATGTACCACTTTGCTTGGCATCCTTGGATTTAAATATCCTGGGGGGTCCTGGTGTCCTGGAACCAGTTCCCTGCAGATACTGAAGGGTGATTGTTACTATGTTGCCAGATTATATTGTCAATTTAATGCATCTCTGCTTATTAAGGACTATTCCCTCTCTGTTTTTTCTTTCCACCTTAATCCAGGACCAGAAAATATCAAATGTGTAGTTAGCCCCTTAAAAGAAAGGAGCTACATGTTAAAAGACTATTAGCTTTTAGGCTCTGGTGTCAAGCTGCCTATTACTCCATGAACTGGTGCAAACTTCTCTCTTTGCCAACTGCACTAACCTCCCCCAACCTTGGGTTTTTTATCTATAGAATGGGACTAATAATTCTGCTCTTTTCATAGGGTTGCTATGAGAGTGAAATGAGATGAAGCATCTCTGTGGTTAGCTCAGACCCGGCTCACAGTCATTCCTTTTTTTTAAAGATATTGATGGACCTTTATTTTATTCATTTATTTATATGTGGTGCTGACCCATGCCTCACACATGCTAAGCAAGTGCTCTACCACTGAACTCCAACCCCAGCCCCTCACAGTTATTTTTTATAGTGGATCTGTGTATGGTTGAGGGAGTCTGGAGTGGGAGGGAGCACAGGAATATAAATCAGTGAATGAGCTTGATTGAACTAATCAGCAATTTTCTCAATGTGTCTAAAAATGGGCTTCAGCTGGGTGACCTTTTCCACCGTTTCTAGCTCTATGATGACCCTACTGGACCTTGGAATATAAAGTCCTCAGTTCTTGCTGAGTTGCAAAGGTGATGCCATGGTTTTTTGTCCCTCAGAGTAGGTCTTTACTGAGAAGAGATTATTGTTAGTTAAGCTGGGGGGGAGGAGCTATCACTGCAATCCAACTTTACTAAGGTAAAAAAATTACCTGTAAAACTAAAGCTGACATTAGTACACAGGGGGTTCCAAGTAACAGTGTCACAGTTGGTGCTCCCTTATGCCACCAGTTAATCATTTTGACTGTGATGAATTTGCCACTCTTTGTTTGATAGCTAGACTAGAGTTGCAGTTTTCCTGTTCTCTAGAAATTGACTTTTGTCATCACAAACAAACATAATTAAACATAAGAATTTGGAGGGCATGAGAAACACTTGATCAGGTAATTTTTTCCTTAGGAGTTAACCATATGATGTCTTCTGTCTACAGTTCAGAGCCTAAAGGGACGTGGTGATCAAGAGAGGCCCTGACACATGAGACCTTAGTCAGTATTAGTATCTTCCCTTTCTTGACTCTTTGATCCCCAGCGGATACTCTCATAAGGAGGCTTAGGTCCCAGCAGCCCAGCCCAGCCCAGCATAACAGGTTGGATTTGCATAGTAAATGTTTCTGGAGTCATCACTTTGTTCAGTTATCTCCATGTCCATGGACACACTCCTCCCAATATACCCTGTAGCAGCCTCCTGTGTGGTCTTCTGCTGCCATCCAGATGCTTTCCAATCTGTTTTCTATCCTGCCTCCAGGGTTATTTTCTGAAATGAAGTCTGATTGTATCATCCATCATTAAACTTTCAAGCCTTTCTTTCCTTTGGGATAAAGATTGAAATGCTTATTATGCATGAAAGGTCCTGCACAATTGGGGCCCCAAACTTTCCAGTCTCATTTTCTTCCTCATTCTCATCCTCACTCTTATACTCCAGTGACCGCTGTAAG